ATTATTGATCTTGATTTTTTTTTGTAAATATTTTTTTGCTTATTTCCACTAATTTAGACATGTTATTAGATCATTAGATGTCACTCAACATGATTAATACCCTAGGGCAATATATGCACACTGTGGTTTTGGGTGGGAAGTTTTATTGCCTGAGGACCGTGTCCTTCAAAGATATGATGTTAATACCAAGAATTGGGTAAGTGAAGAGTTTGAAATACCCAAAACCTAGTTCTTTCATCCAGATGATTTAATGGGACCTGCATTGGCTGTTGACAAGTTGTATTGATAGATCCAAAGCACCTAATTGAGGAAACCACTTGCCCCATACTCTGGCATAAGTTTTTTTAACATGGCTACCAAAACAGTGTTGCATAATTGGGACTAGAAAGGCAACCACTTCTCATTCTAGGTATATCACAGGCTCTAGTACACATTTTTAAGCATGCATAAAAAATTTTTCCTTGCAATCTGACATGTTTGCTTTGTAGGGTGGAGATAACACTTTCACATACAAGAAGAATTACCAGCATATCAAATAATCCATGAAAGGCATGTTTGATTGAGCGGATTATAGCATAGGATTGAGATTATTAATCCATTGGAGTCACTATCATTGGATAACTAATCCTACACTAATCTTGTGGATTGTTGATCTCCTTACTATTAATCCTGCTAATCGAATAGGGCTGAAAGGTATAGCATTATATTAACTAGTAAAAGAGGCTAAAACATGAGAAGCAGGAATTGCAATTAGTTTTTACCATCAGTCCTAAAAAACAAGTTTAAGCCTAATGATTCTTTGTTATGGAAAATTAACAAAAGAAGTTTTCTCACATGTATGTTTTGTTACAATTCTAAGATTGTATTATATGCATCCTCTACAATAAGGGCTTGCAAACAAATCCAACTAAGTAACATACTTCATCACTTAACCTCAAAAAATAAAATAAAATGGTAGTGGTCTATGAATATAAATAATAATTAAAGCAATGAAATAGAACGAGTAGGCAAAATTAAGGACAATAAGCTTGCTTACATCACCAAACTATCCTAGAAATAAGTTGCATACTCAGAAACTAAGATTGACACGAGATGGAAGAGATTTTCAAGGGAAATATTCCACTCTTTTGGGGACGGCTGCCATTGGTAACTCGAAGCTTCATGCAGTGAATGTGAAGAGGTTCCGAATTAAGCGGTCCTGGGATCATCTCCTCTTCCTCAGACAAGGACTCCCACTCATTCTCAGTTATAAATGTTGGCCTAAGTTCCACCATTGAAAACCAAAGCAAACAAAACTTGTCGCTGCCTAGATGAGCCAAGCTCAGAGAAGGAGGAGAACCAGTATCATCAGGTATGTAAGACTGTCCATAGTCATGGAGATTGAACTTGCTCATCAATTGCATGTTTGTCACTAAATCATACCCAATTAGGCGTTGATTGTACGGAGCTGAATATCAATACCCAATTAGGTAATCAACGCCTAATGGGTATGATTTAGTGACAAAGATGTGGTTCATGGGTAAATTCAATCTCCATGACTATTGAAAGTCATACATGGCTTATGATATTGGTCCTCCTTCGACCTTGGCTCATCTAGGCGGTGACAAGTTCTGCTTGTTTTGGTTTTCAATGGTGGAGTATCATCCTAAGCTAGAGCCAACAACCATAACTGAGGAGGAGTCCGAGGAAGAAGAAATGGTCAATTACAACACTTGGTCCATAAGTTACTATTTTCACCTTCACTGTATGAATATTCAAGTTACCAATGGCAACCGTCTCCCAAAGAGAGTAATATTTTCCTTAAAAATCTCTGCCATCTCGTGCCAATCTTAGTTTTTGATAATGCAACTTATTTTTGTGGTGGCTTGGCGGTGTAAGAATATCTTCTCTTCTTTCATTTTACCCACTTGTTCATTTTTATTCTTCTTCTTCTTCTTCTACTATGGTTCTTTTTATTACTTTAATTGTGAGTTGTAGACACCTCACTTTTGACCGCCCTTAAGACTTGGGCACTACTGATGGTTTACTTGGTGGAGAAAGGTGTGTAGGGCAAAGGTTCAGTTTCTTCGGCAAGGAGAGAGTCAAATCCCAACTTCATACCCCTTTTGGGCCAAAACAATCTTGATCAAAATATTTTAGACCTTGAAACCCTCTCTTTCAAAATGTTTTGAAAATAAAGTTTCTACGATGTTCCGACACTCGTATTTTGTTAAATATCGTGCTTTTCGGTAAACTGAGCAAGGACAAAGTGGAAATGAATGAAAGAGATATGAAATCTTTGAAAAATATTTCAAAACACTTTGTTTAGGGGTTTGGAGTTGAAGAAAAAAGGAAAGGAGAGAAGAAAACTAGTTTGGGAGAAGTTCGGCATGAATCCGGGTAGGACCAAAATTGCGCGGCTTCACCAAAACAGGAATAACTTTTTGCACAGTTGAAATTTTGATGCAAGGCTGCCACCATTGGAAAGATTACTTCCGGGGATTCAACTTTGACACAATAATGACCTGAAAAGGAGTCCATATGAAGGATTTATGGCCATTTGAAGTTGGACCTGGAAAGCAGAATTTTCCTGCCGACCAGAAAAACTAGCTGGCCGACCAGAAAAAGTGGCTGGCCGACCACTTTCTCTGAAAAAGTGGTCGGCCGACCAGAAAAAGTGGTCAGCCAACCAAAAAAGTGGCTGGCAGGTCCCAAACTCAAATTCTTTGAAGATATTTTCTCTCCAGCTGTCTTCCACAACCTCCAGCTGTTCTATAGACAGATATTTTCGAGCCAACTCTCATTTTTGCTATATATAAGGCTATATCTCTCATTTTCAAGGGGGACAATTTTTTTGGAGAAGCTTGGGAGCTTCTCACTCTAAAAATTCTCTCTCTCTCTCTCTCTCTCTACAACTTCTAGGGCTGAATCTTTGCCCCTCTCTCTATATACTCCACTCCCTTGCCCATTTTGTGCATAGAAATGCTTGAAAGTAAAGAAATGCTTCTAGTTTGCCTAGGCATCCTTCATCAAAGTTAACCACCATTGGGCTGAGGTTATTTGAGGACATTTTTGGAGTTTAAAAAGCTGATTTTTGGTTGAGAAATCTGCTGGTTTGCTGTGCTTCAAGGGTAATCTCTTTTCTCCCTTTTTAAGCTCTATCTTGATCATTCTCCTAGCCATGCTTGCATGAATATTTAGGCTTTGTTGTCAACTAAAAAAAGGTTCATATTTAAGTGATTTTCATGTTTGTTTAAGGCTCTTTTGGTGTTGGGGGTCATCTACCCTCTTGCATGCTCTATTTAGCCTTGTTTTGAGCCATGCCATGAGACCTTTGTATTGAGCTTTGCCTGTCCCTTTAGCCACTGAAATCCAGCAGATTTTCAGTGGTTGGCATGTGGTTTTGACGGCCAAAATCAGAGAGGGGTGACCCTCTCTCTTTTGGCCTTGTTTGCTTGCATTTTTGGCTTTCCAAGGGAGCATATATTTCCACACTTCCTAGCCTTAGTTCAGGCCCTTTTTAGTGACTTTTAGGACCTGCCTAGACTCTGTCTATGGCTGGTTTGGTTAGCTTTTGTTTGCCACTTGCATGTGTAGAACAATCCCTTGCATAGCCTATCAAAGTAACACCTCATTCTTGCATGTATTGGTCATGTTTCAGTGGGTTTTTGGCCATAATTTGGCATGCCATGATTCTATTTTTGACTGGTTTGGTAGCCTCTCATATGCTTCACATGCTTGTAGTGTAAATCATGTTCACTAGCTTATAATGCATGTTGTTTTGGCCCTCTATGCTAGCATATTTTGGCCACACTCTAAACTGATTTTGTTCATATTTTGGGCTGCCTTAGCTCTATTTTAAGGTCCCTTGGTCGAATGATGCTTTCCATGTATGGTTGTAGTGTAATAGCCTTGCTTAGCCTTGAGTTTTGAATCCCCTTGCATGCTTAACTTGAGGTGTTTGCATGTTTTAGCATCATTGAGCATGATATTTCAGAGTTTATTTCTTGGCCATATTCTCATGTTTGTCACTCTTTCAATATGTTTGAGAGTTGCATCATTATACCCCATTTATGAGCCTTTGCATTCCTGGGTTGTCCCATATTAAAATTTTAAGAGAGCTTTGTTGAGTATATAAGCTCTAAATTACAACACTTGGGTTGGGCCCCAAAGGGCACCCCAAGTTTGTAGAAGGAAAGAGTTATGGACAAAGTGAACCTTAGTCCAAACCACCACGCGCGCCGCCGTCTGTCCTGCTGAGCTGGGTGCAGGTGTAGGTCGGGTCGATTCTAATATTAATATTTTTGAGAAATTTATTTGAACTTTTTCCAAAAAACTTATCGAAATTAATTCATTTATGAATTTAATTTTTCTGTCCATTTGTTACTTCTTCAGTCCAATTTTTTAAACAAATTAAACCGTTCAAACAGTTTTTCGGATCTGTTGACAACTAGACAGATTCAAATTGCAGTTTACAGGTTCAACTGAGACCAAATATGTTCAAAATTCTAAACTGCATCTGTTCGGCTGTTTTCATACCTGTTCAGATTTTCTGGACAGGTTTATTACTACTAAGTTTCAAACAGATTGGAAAATAAAACTACCAGCAGTTCTGAATAGTTTTATAACTGTTGCAGTTGTAGATTTGTTTGAATTTTGACTCATATCTATTCAAAACAGTTTCACACAAGTTCACTTCCTTTTAGCATCTATTCGGGTCAGTTTGGATTGCCTATAAATTCAGACCATTTCCAGCAGTCTTGGGGATCCGAAATCAGTCTGAAAATCATCTAGAAAATTTTTGTTCTCCTCATTTTCTTGCTTTATTTGCACAAATTCTTTATATTAATTTTTAGGGAAATTAAAGAGAGTATAGAACACTAGGTTCTAGTTCGCTGGACAAATTTATTTGAAGTGCTACTACAAATTTGTGAAGATCATTGTATTCCGGGAGATAGACGCCACATAACCGTAAGCACCGTAACGGGGCGAATCTGTCTTAAGGACAGAGTGTCACATACTCGACTTGGTCTTTTATTTTTCATTCGGTTCGATAAAATAAATTCTATAAGTTATTTATTTTATTTTGTTTGATTTAGTTTCAATTTATTTTATTTACACAGAAGATTGTTCTAATAGTAATAAACTGAAGCACCCAAGAATTCCATGACTAAACCTTGGGATGATATAGGGAAGTAAAAAACAATTTTGTTTTCCCTTACAGAAAACAAACCCAGCCATATCCAACACAGCCAAAAACAAAAACAGCTATAATCAACAGCCAAGTTCAAAGGGTTATAAGGAAAGAAGGAAGAGAGAAACAACATAATAAATATAATCAACAGCGACTGAAAAAAAAAATACTAAAATTACTAACCGAGTGCGAGTTCGAAGGGAGCAGCGTCGGTACTGAAACAACATAATCAACAGATTGGCAGTGAGTGTCTTCAAATAAAGTTAACAGAAGAAGAAGACACATCAATGTAATTTACACCATTTCTCAAAAAAATGTAATTTACATCAAGCAAGAAAATAAGACTTGTTTGCACTCTAGTTCTGCTTACAGTACATTGATCAAATCTGACTTAGTATGGTATAATCACTGAAAATGTAAAGAAATTAAACAAAAACCAAATTCAGTTCCACACAAACAGACCTTTATTTCATGGTTATGTCAAAGCACAACAGAAATGTACATATAATTCAACAAATAACATCCTTGCCATCTTTAAGTATGAACATTACATTACATATACGATACTACATAAATCTTTAAATCACTATGAACAATTCCCCGTCTTTATGGTCAGAAATAACAAGAAACTTAGAAACCATGAAAATGGCCAGACCCAAATCGTTATATCTTTACAATTACAAAGAATATGACAATCAGAGTCTCCTCTTACCTTTCTTTTCCATGTCCTCAGCTATCAAGTCCATTCCTCTGTTTCCACTTTAGACTAACAATTAGTCAATAGCTACATATCTCTTCAATCAGAAACTCTATAACCTCATTACGTTTCTTTTTATTCAAAAATTAAAAAATTAATGTACAGGTAAACTAATTTCTTATTCAATGGGTTTAATTAATTGTAAATATTAAAACAGACACAGCCACAAAAACAAAAACAGAGAGAGAAGATGAGAGGCTTCAATCTTACCTTGCAAGGATGAGTGTCGATGCTGAACAAAAAAACAAACAATCAAAACAACAATGATTTCGTAAATTCTGATTCCAAAATAACAAAAATCAAAACAAACAATCTTACCTTGCCAGTTCGAAGGAAAGCATGAAGCGATGACTGAAGTGATGAACAAGGATGAGGAAAGATGGAGGAGGATAGGAAATAGGGGGTTCGAGCTTGGGTCTCCGGCAATAGCGGTGGTCGTCACAAGGAGAGGTGGTTTTTGTTGTTTACTGATCTTCCTCTTCAGTGGTGAGTGGCGTCGAAAGAGAGAGGATTATACAGTTTTTTTAGCGATCGGAGGAGTATTGGATGATCATAGACGATTGGCGATGGTCGTGGGTAAACGGAATTTGACTGTAGATGGGAGGAATATGGGATGAGTAATCCTAGGATCATAAAAAAAATATCATGAAGATGATCATAAAAGATTCTCCGTCTTTAGATTACACTTACAATAAAACATCACACACTAACCAAATGATGAAAAATTTTCATGATACATTTCATAATATTTTTTTCATGATCCCTAATATTATTCATACCGGATGGATAATTCATTACGCCATCTCCAACGGTGAACCAAATTCACCATCAGATTTGAATTTGGTGAAAAATTATCATTTTTATGACTCCAATGGTTTCACCAAATGGATATCAAATTGAGAATTCACCAAAAGATTCACCAAAATGAGAATGTGCTGGGTCTTTCACCAAAACACTATTCATTACTGTTGTATTTTTACTACTGGATGACCCATCGGATGACCAATTTTCGCAAAATTTTGTACAGATTTTACACTGGGAGGTCGACCCCCCGGATGACCCTTAAGCTTGAAAATTCAACTACAGAATTGTACAGATTTTACTCTTTTCGATCAACCGGCCGGTCATCCCCCCGAACGTCTAGTGCGTTTTGATGAAAGTTACAGTATACCATTGGAGTGATTGATATTAAATTGAGCCAAACGTTTTTTTTTTTACTCAAATTTAGTGAAAAATTTATTCAACCGTTGGAGATGCCCTTAATTCATGAAAAGTAAACTAGCTCTAATAATAAAGGATGATTAGGCAAAAAGAAGAAAATTATTTAGGCCTAGTTTGGCATACACTAAAAAATACAAAAAAGTCAAAAAGTTACTAAAAAAGCAAAAAAATTATCACTATTCACCAAAAATATATATATATAAAAAAAAACCCCTTTACACAGGCCAAGTACAAGCCACTGTCAGTATTGAAGTGATGGTCACGCGGGTGCAGAAAAAAATTTGCACAGGGGGTACTATTCGGCCTGTGGGGCCCATCACGGGTCTCATTTTAATAATCTGAACCGTTCAACGTGTATAACTCGTCGAGTACTATATTTCTGTAAAAAATCACGTTGATTAGATATCGATAACTATATGATGATCTCAGTTTTGTAAAAAAAAAATAGATGGTGAAGAAATTAATGGTTGACAAAAAACTAATCTGATCAAATAGCTATCGATATCAGACCAACATAATTTTTTACAGGTATATAATCTTTGACGAGTTCTACACATTGAACGGTTCCGATTATCAAAATGAAACCCGTGGTGGCTCCACGGGTCGAACAGCACCATCTAGTCCGATCCCAGACTGTAGGCAATCTGCTCCTATACTTGTTTCCTACCCACCGTCTGGCTTCCTGGACAATCCAAGTCAGTAGGCAATTCATTATAGGAGGGGTAAAATGGTAATTTTACTACTTCATACAATATTTTTTTATATACATTTTTTGGTAAAAAGTCAAAAAATTATCTCAAACAACCATATTTTTTTCCTTAACTTTTTAATCTAAAAAGTCAAAAAGTGCACTTATTTAGGATATCCCAAACAACCCCTTCAGGATGGTTTGGGATGATCTAAATAAGTGTACTTTTTGACTTTTTATGAAATATGGGTTGGGTATGAGTTGGGTTTGAAGTGATGTGGTAGAGAGGTAATGTGACTTAAATAGGATAGTGTCTTTTTGACTTTTTATATTTTTTAGGTTATGACAAACAAGGCCTTAGTATGAATCACTTGAGTTATCCAAGTTTAACTCACTATTTCAGCACATTCAAAAAGACTAGTGTTTGTATTTAGTACTGGGATGTGATTTTATCATAGATTAGAAAAGCTGAAGAATGGAGAGAAAAGCCCTTAGAAAATAATATACATGCTTAGAGGAAAATTAACCCACATGATATGGTGGATCTAGTAAAGTTTAAGATAGATAATTCATGTCATGTTGCAAAACCAAAACGATGAGTAATTTGCAATTTTCATCTAATTTGGAAGGCAAAGCTATATATAATAAGTAGATAAAAAAACTATACTTAAGAGCTAGCTCTGTATGCTGAAGTCTAGATGATCAAGTTCTAGTTCTCTCTCATTAATATCCCAAGGTTTTTTGCTGATAAATTGTGGCTTGTTATGGGGCTTCTACATGAATTATTAACTATATCTTGATATATCCTCTTTCATAAAATACAAAGAGTCAAACTATACAAAGTATTTGAAGTTTGTATGTATGCCTAGGCAGGAAATAGAAAGCTAAGTAGGCAAATGTAGTAGGTAAATTTTCTAGAAATAGTTTATTTTAAACCCAAGTGATTTTGATGCAAATCATGTGGGTTGAAAATCCAAGGAACACAATGTGAGAAGCCAAAATGTGTTTTCACTTTTTTCAAATCAAGTTTTCACTGTCTTCTCCCTCTCTCTCCCACCACCGGCTGCCGGTGACACTCTGGTGAGCTTTGACGACATTAGGCCACCTTTCAATAACTCTCCAGTGATCATTCGGTGGTCACCACCCATTACCTCCTGTTGGACAATCTTCACTGTATTTAAAAGGATTTAATTCTGTTGTGTACAAAACAACAACAAGAATAAAAGAAATAGAATAAAGGAGAGAATATGTTTGATTACAAAAATCAAACTCGAAATAAAAATAAATAAATAAAAAACAAAACAGATTTTATTTTGTTACAAAAACAAAATTAAAATCTGAATAAATAAATCGACACTCGGGGCCCACCTAAAAAATAGACCGAACTTAGGAAAAAATTCTGGTTTTATCCAGAATTTTATAACCATTCCAACACCTCCAACCACCCTGTGACTTCCAACGACAATCTAGCCACCTTTGGCTACTCACTACATCCATCCACCCTCCATTGTTGGCCACCACATACAACTACTCACCAATTTTTTTATTTTTGTTTTCAAAACTTTTGTATACATGAAACACAATTTTTGTTCTCTCGTTAAAAATAAAAAAAAATAAAAATAAAAAAACCTGTTGAATACAAGCTAAAACACTAAAACATAAAAACTTGGTTTTCGTAAAAAGGAAATTGATAATGTTATCAAACAAGAACTTAAAAGTTTGTTCTAGCTTGTATTCAATAGTTTTTTTTTTCCTTCTTCTTATAAGTATGTATCCAATGACTATTGAATGATCATTTATGAAGTTACAAACTGCTATAGCAACTTTTTCTTATTACGAAAAAATAGGGGCAACCTACACATTGGATGTATATACATATATATCAAAAGACTGAAAAGCATCCCTAAGTAAGTATCTAAAGGTATATACAACTCTCCTAAAAAAAAGTTGACAAAAGTTAGAGAAATAAAGTCTCCATAAGCCAAAAATAGAAGGAAACAGAAACAATGTGTCTTTCAAACATAAAATAGATCTCACACAACCATCAAAACACCTACATTCCTCTCATTCCAAAAACACCACATGAGGCGAAGAGGAGTGGCCTCTCCCACAAACACTATGAAAAACTCCTCTCATTCCAAAAACACCACATGAGGCAGAACAACTCTTGAACTGGAAAGGCATCACCCATGCACTACACAAAGAAGATCGAGAACACCACACTTCACACCTCTCTAACTACTAAATAATTAGAAGATGGAAAACAGTTTTCCCCACACATTGTTGCAAATGTCGTACCAATCCATAATAAATTTAACCCTACTGAGATTGTTAGTCATTAAAATTAGCTTCATGTGCAGCCGTCCAAGCAAAGAATGCCCCTTTGGGGAAGCTCTCGAACACCAAATGGCCCCTTCAAGGGAACTGTTCACATCACTTCCTCTTCCTTTTGTTTTGGGATTGAGATGTGGGGTGTTTTAAGCTCTAATTTTTTTGGCTTATTGTTTAACTCTCTGATTCCCCTTATCATTTTAATCTTCATTTGCAAGTGAATTGTATTACACCAAAAAAAAAAAAAAAAAACAATAGATAGGGTTCTTAGGGACCACTATATCTTTCTTTGGAATTAGTGCCTCCACGCCAATTAGGTAGATTCCCACATCAGAAGTTTGCATGGGTTATATAAGGCACCATTTGGGTCACTGTTCTAGGTTGGCCACGTGCTTCTTGTGGTAGCTATAGCTTAAGCCCAAGCTACTTAGTAGTAAGCTAAAGCACCATTTGGGTGGTGTCTTATGTCTAAGATCACCGATTGAAACTTTCGATGTGGAACAGGGTTGTTACAAACTCCCTGACTTATAAATCCTCGTAAGCTCATGGCCAATCCAGAACAATAACCCACATGGATTGTTTGCATGGGTCGGCTTTGATACCATTTATAATGGCCCATCACTTGCTAGCCCAAGTGACTTGTGAGTCTACCAACATGACCCAAAAGTTTAAGCTCAAGTTACTTAGGCCTCGTTTGGCAACATCACTTTTTAGCCTAAAAGTCGAAAAGTCACTAAAAAAATAAAAAAGCCAACAACCTATACCAAAAAAGTCCAAGATTCCTTTTTCTTTCTACTTTTTGCACATCTTTTCGTAAAAAATCAAAAATTCATCCCAAACATACTAGTTTTTTTTGCATCATATTTTAGCCAAAAAGCCAAAAAGTTACTAAAAAAGCATGTTCCCAAATGAGGCCTTAGTTGCAAGCTAATGGTGCCTTATATGCCCAAGACCACCTATGCAAACTTTCGATATGAGACGGGGTCGTTATGATTATTATTATTTTTTATAGAATTTCAATCAGTGGTTATTCGATCCTTTACGAGTGGAGGATGATTTTTGAAAACGACATGGTAATATAATTATTGGGATAGGAAACTTTTCATTGAATTGTCTGGTGTTGTGATTAATCATCTGAATAGTGTTCATGTGGTGAATCAATTCAATGACAATCTGTTGACTATAATGCAAAATACACCTATTTCTATGGGTCGCAAATCATCTTACAAAATTGAAGGACTTGTGAATGTATCCCTGATTTAGTGGTGGTGATGAATGGAACAACAAATGACCTTTATACAATGGTAACAATAGTGCAGAGGTTTTCACAAATCCAATATCTAGGTATGTGGAATTTATTTTTGAAT